AAAGAAAGAAAGAAAGAAAGAAAGAAAGAAAGAAAGAAAGAAAGAAAGAAAGAAAAACACCAAAGTGGGGAAACCTTGCAAAGAAACAAGGTGACACAGTATTCTAAAGCCAGATAATATAAATAAAGAAAGCTATGTGAGCTTTTCTCATGTGAGAGCCTGCTGCTATAAGAATAACCAATAAAGACATCTGGAACATCTGGGAGAATCTCTTTAACATTTGGATAGATCAGTGCATCACAACCAATAGTGAGGTGCCCAGTCCACCTAAGGTGTATAAAGTTTGCTGATATGTATCTATGTGTCATACCTCTCCAATCTCAAATGCCTGACTATTCAGCCGAAATTATCTTTTAAAAAAGACTCATTAACCAGAACTCCCTGCTTTGTGTATCTGAGAAGGAAGAGAAAAAGTAGGAGCTTAGACCAACACTCCAAAATTTGCAATGATACAGTTCCACAAGAGCTCTTGCTGTTTATGTACTGTGCTCAGCTAAGGAAGATGCACAGCATATAGGCCCTGAGTGCGTTTACCAGCACAGTGATGTGCCCCAGAGAGTCATTAGGAACTGGCAACCTAGTGTAGTTGAAACAAATGATTGAAAATGTTTTCTTTTGGAGGCCATTTGCAATATGCTTTTAATTCTTCCACATCATAAAACCAACTCACTTTCCCATTTTGTGGATGCTATTAAAGAAACAAGCACAATCCCAGAGAAATTCATTTATCAAGCATTTAGTTGAAAAGTGCCAAAGCTCTTCCACTATCAAGACTTTTCCTCATCCTATCAGAGCTTCTAAATTGTCCCAGAGCAGCTACATTGCTTCATTTCACTTTCTGCATAAAAAGCAATGTGTAACCACAAGACTCTAGGTAGATAAGGGGATACACCAGTGATCATGTGCTTATAATCCTCTCTTTAGGATTTCCATAACAAATTGACTCAACACTTTTTTGGTGTAAGCTGTTTTCCGCTTTGTAAAGAATTTCGTTTAAAGAAAAAAGAGGTCAAATGGCATCAAAGAAACTTGCCATATTGTGCCTAATGACAAGTGTTTCTCATTCTGAAATGGAATATACCAGAAGATGACAACTAAAGAGGACAAGAAGATAGATTTCAACTGTTAATCAGAAAACAGTGAGACAGAAGAGTTTTCCTGTTGTTTTAAGCAAAGCTTCTTTCAGAAGAATTCATGACAGATCATTATAAACTGATCTTCTCTGGGAAGCTGATTTGTGGACAAATATTTCAACCTGACACAATTAGGTTAGGAAGTAAAGACCATCACATTAGACTATAAAAATAATTTCAGGTTGAAAGGAAAGCACTAAGCTTTGGTGATAAGGGCCCTTTTATGTTGTTTTTGTTTGGGTTTCTTGACTGTAAGCCACAGTATGAGCCATTGTCAGTATTTTCTTTTGTTTCAACATAACAATACAACTTATATCTGTCTTGTTGATAGAAAGAACTAGTTCTTTGAACCTGCTAGTAAAGTTCAATGAATAAACATTTTTAATATACCTTCTTGTTAAATGTTCACTATAATAAGACTGAAATTAGGTTTAAGTTAAGCCAGAGTTCCATTCAAGAGAGTTAAAACTTCTCAGAAAAATCTTAATATCTTAAATCAAGCACAATCTGCTAAATGCCCACACTAAAGAAATGGCTTACTGGATCACTTACCATTTAAAGGGAGTTAGAAGCAGATGTAAAGTCCCTGCCTTAGTCATGCGTCTGTTCTTTAAATCAGATGTGAAATAATGGTTACTACCTGGATTGGATTCTAAAGGCCAAAGATTAAGTAGGTCATCAAGAAAGGGTTCCCCCTCTGACCACAGATAGGAAGCCAGTAAATCAATAAAACGGCATTTCTTGCAGCATACACTCTTCACTTCTGAGACAGTATCTAGGAAGCTTTGAAGACACCTTTAAAGAACACAGAAGGAATGCAGTCCCTGCTGAGGGCTTGTGAAAGGGAAGAAGAGACAGAGCAAGTGAGTCAGCCAGGATCTGGCCCCCACCCCCACCAAGCATTTCCCCAGCACTTTCTTTTAGAAGAGTAAAAGACTGAGACAGTGAGACTGACACAGAAATTCCTTTCATTCCTTCTTCTGAAGGGTCTTCCTTCATACGTACAATACAGAAAATGTTTTTTTCAGTACCCAAAGACAGAAAGAAAGTGCCACAAATAGTGTAGAAGCACTTTTCAGTTTCAGTGCCAGGCATGGATTTCACCTGCGTATCTCATAAAATCAATGTGCTACACTTGGAAAGGTTCCACAGGAAAGAAAGAAAGAAAGAAAGCACCTGATAAATGATATTTCTATTTGTGGTCATTTCTTACTGTCAAGTCAGAAATATTTTAACTGACCATTTCCTAATCAGAAAGGAGAAAGGAAGAGTCTCTTGTCTATAGATAGAAGCCCTGCTTTTTAGTTCAGAAGCCAACAGTTGATACCTATGAACAAGTGGGTTGGCTGCATCATAGATGCTTTGTTTCAGATATGGGACTTACCATTAGCAGAGTGTGGATTGAATACATTTTTAAAAAATGACGGAATAAAATGATAACTCTGTCACTTAATGAACAATATAATCTTAGTAAACTTATCTGATTTATCTTCTCCTTACTTTCCCCATCTGTATGAATGAATGATACATGTTTAATAGTACATGGCATACAGTAAACAAAAAATATTGAGTCTGCTACCCTGGGTTACTATATGGAGTGAAGAATGATGAAGCCAGTAAAACACAACTGGTCACAAGAAATGTTTCTATCTTTCTGCATTTTGAAGTCATATAAATATGCTTGGAACTGGTGAGATGACTCAGCAGGTAGAGGCACTTGCTGTCAAGCCTGAAGACCTGAGTTTGATTCCTAGGACCTTCATGGTAGAAGGAGAGAATAGACTATAGCAAGTTTTCTGACCTCCACATGCATGCTACAGCATGCCTACACACACACACACACACACACACACACACGCACGCATGCACGCACGCACGCACACGCAAATGTAAATGTAAATGTAAAAACAAATATAAGGAGAGTTTGAGGGCTAGAGAGATGTGTCAGCTCTTCTAGAAGACCTGAGTTTGGTTCCCATCACCCATGTCAAGCAGCTTACGACCTCCTGTAAATCTAGCTCCATGGTTTCTAACTTCTGGCTTCTGTGGGCACCAGCATTCATGTACACATACCACCCCCGACACATACATATAATTAAAATATTTTAATTATATCCTTCACCCAGGCATAGTGGTTCACACCTTTAATCCCAGCTCTCATAAGTCAGAGGCAGGCAAATATTTGTGAATTCAGGTCAGCCTGGTCTACATAGCGAGTTCCTGGCCAGTGCTACATAGTGAGACCCTATCTCAAAACAGGGTGAGGATGGTTTGCATTATCTCTGTGTTGCTTTTGTGGACCTATTGCCAGGTACAGTGGCATGCACCTTGTAGTCACAGATACTTAGAAAGCTAAGCAAAAGGACCACTTACATCTGGGATTTCAAGACCAGACTGGGCAACATAGAACTCACCTCTCACCTTAAAATAAAATTCTCTATTGTTCAGCTAACTGAAACAAACTCTTTGGCCAAACAAGGTGCACTGACCCAAGAAACATGTTATTCCCACAGGAAAGCTGTGCTTCTAGACTGTGCGCATCAAGCCAGGAAAGTGACTACCCTCTTGAGAAGACCATGACCAGCAGTCCTATCAAATCGGAACGTGAAGCACTGCTAGTGGGTAAGGAAGCCAACACAAGACAACCCAGAGGATACAGAGAAAAAAGGGGAGTACTCAAGATTAAAATGCCTGCCAAACGTGTGTGGAGGATGACAGGGACAGATCAAGGACAGATTTCCAGAAATATTCTCATAGCAGCTTTCAGCCAGTTCTGGCTCTTTGTAGCTACTGCCATGTCAGGTATATTAATATAAGCATTATATACTAAGAGAGAGAAACACATTGTATAATGTTTTAAATCTCTCTACAAGGAAAGATGAACCCTTTTGTTCAGGGGGACTGTGCAGAAACTGTTGAAAAAAAGAGCTTTTTCCAGAAGAGCCTCTAGAGCTATTGACTGAGCCATTTTTATTCATGAAACTTCTGACACTTATTTCTTAACGCAAAATGTATGCTGTTTTTCCAACACTAATTTTCCAACTCTCCAAAACCAGGTATGCGTCCTACAACTCAATTCAATATGATTCTGATATCAACTAGCTGAAGTTACATTCCACAAGATTAAAGTCTCAGTTTCACAACTGAGCCCCCACTTTAGATTCCAGGGTCAAGCATCATGTTCCCAGGTGTGCTGATCAACTTTCTTTTATAAAAAGGAAAGTTTTTTTGGGTCCACAATTTTAGAGATATTAGTTCATTATTGGTTGGCACTGATATTGCTTTTCGACCTGCAATAAGGCAGCACATCATGGTAACAATATGTGGTCAAGATAAGAGACACAGAATGTGGGGGGGGGCATGTGTGTGTGTGTGTGTGTGAGAGAGAGAGAGAGAGAGAGAGAGAGAGAGAGAGAGACAGAGAGTTCTACCATCTCTCAATAGTGCTACAGGCTGCAGACTAAGCCCCTATCACATGAGCCTTTGACTGCACTCCAGATCCAAATTATCAAGTTACCCACACCCTGTCCAGTTCAGCTATGAAGTCAGAAACCTCCCACTACCCCCACCCACCAGGTTCAATAATTTGTTAGAACAACTCAAAGAAGTACTTGACTTACTATTGCCAGTGTTTGATAGAGAATGAAACCCAAGAATAGGCAAGTGGAAGAAATGTATGGGGCAGAATTTTAGGAGGATGAGAGTTGAGCTTCTGTACCATTTGTGGTCATGCTTTGCTACCCTCCTAGCATCTTTATAGTTCACCAGCTAGAAAGTACTCAGAGCTCCATCATGTAGCTATCTTAACTGTAGTTTAATTATATAAGTATGGTTTGAGGTGCGGGGAAAAGGAGGGATCTGAAAACCCCAATCCTCTAACCCTGTCTTAGTCTTACTATTGGCCAGTCCCCATCCCGAAGTTACTGAAGGGCCCCCATTCATCACTTATTATCACCATCCAAATAGATATATTCTAGCTGGGCTTGTGGCATATGCCTGTAAACCCAGCACTCAGAAGGCAGAGTCAGGATGATTACAAGTTCAAGGCCAGCCTTGACTACATAGCAAGATTCTTTCTAAAGAATAATTAAACTTGGGGCCAGCACAATAGCTCAATCAGTAAAGGTGCCTGCTGCCAGGACTGACAACCTGAGTTCAATCTCAGGGACTCACATGGTGGAAGAAGAGAACTGACTTTGGCAAGTTTTCTTCTGACCTCAACTCATGCATCATGGCACACATGTACAATGGCACACACACACATGCCCCCCCACATGCATTTGTGTGTGTGTGTGTGTGTGTGTGTGTGTGTGTGTGTGTGTATTAGGAGCTGTGTGCTAAGATCTGGAACAAAGACTACATATTTGTATTGTCATTGTATCACATTGGCAAATGATTCCCAAAACTATAGTGTGTTGGATATTGGTGTGCTCTGATTCAATAAATGCCGGAATTGCTCTCACTATCTAACAGTCCATTTAGGATAGGAAAATTGCAGAAGTAGTTAAAGAATCCAGAAGACGTAGCTTCCTATCTTGATGCCACCATTTGTTTTCTGAGCTTTGGTTCCTCCATTTGCAAGATGGACAAACCGTTACTTGATTCAAAGGGCAATTCCAAGAGTTAAATATGATAAATATCCCAAATCACTTCACACAAGACCTGGCTTATAGTCAGCCCTCAGTAAACAGAAAGCATTTTGTATTTAAAATATTATTCACAAATGCTTGTTTACTTTTGTTCTATTTGGAAGCTAATGAAAATATGAGGTTTAAAATATTCAGTCCTTTTGACCCAGGCATGGTGACACACACCTTTAATCCCAGCACTTAGGAAGCAGGGGCAGGTAGATCTCCGGAGATCAAGGCCAGCCTGGTCTACATAGTACACTCCAGGCCAGTTGAAGCTACAGAAACGCTGTCTCAAAAACAAAGAAACAAACAACTACATACATACATATATTTATATAGATGTATATGTATATATCATATCATATCATATCATATCATATCATATCATATCCAGTCCTTGGGCTGGTTAAACTAAGCTGCCTTCTCTAAAGTTGAGCCACAAGGTAACTACCCCACTCTCCAAAGTCCTCCATACTGATTGGCTACTGCATGTTTTTAAAGTACATAGGTTTTCCTTGTTAATGAATGTTATATTGAACACTTTAATATATTAGTAAAGATTGATGGGGTGGGGAAGAATCTGCCATTGAGTCTTCAAAAAGTAAAACTGACTACTTTTAATGTT